GGCTGATGGCTGTTTGCAGGCTGGCCACAGCCCCTTCAGGGTGGGGGGTCCTGCTGCGGTGCCTGGCCAGTCTGGGTGAGGGGCTGAGGGCCGTTTTCAGGCTGGCTAAGCCCCCCAGCGGGGACCCTCACTCCATGAGGGTGTGGCCAGCCTGAGTGAGGGGCTGATGGCTGTTTGCAGCTGGCCACAACCCCCAGCCACCCAAGCTCCCAGTAGAGGCTGGCTGGAAGCAGGTATCTGGGATTTGTTTAGCTTCTATAATTGAAACATTGTTGCCTTTAGTGGAGGCCACAGCCGACTCAGGGCTGGCAGGAAGCTTGGCTTCCTCCATCGCCCACACAACCAAGCCTCCTGCTTGCTCCAGCTCTGTGGCTGCTGGCCGCCATCTTGGTTGGGTTAATTTGCATATAGTCACTCTGATTGACTGGTGGGCGTGGCTTAGGGTGTAGCGAAGGTATGGTCAATTAGCATCTTTGTCTTTTATTAGTGTAGATTTATTTGAATGCCATGTATATGCTAGACAAAATGCTAGGTGCTTTTCATACATTACCTCCTTCAGTCTTCTTTAGAGTTCTATTATCTCAATTCTAGAGATATGGAAATATTCGGCTGAAGATTAAGCTTTCCCAAGATCATAAATGTGGAAGCTGAATTCAGATTCATGTCTTTCTGACTCTAGAGCCTATGTCCTTAATTGTTATGCCATAATATTATATCTTTATCCCACTTCCCTACCACCCACCCCTAGATTCAGTTCCCTGCTGGTGCCACCACCTTCCATTGAAACCAAATAACAGAATCATCCTAGACTTTCCCTTTTCCTTTACATGCAACCTATCACCAAGTTGTTCAGTTTATTCTCCAAAATGTTTCTTTAAACCATTATCTACCCCTCCCCTCAATCAGACTGCCACTGCTAGATCCTTAGATTAAGCTTTTTTAAAAAATATATTTTATTGATTTTTTACAGCGAGGAAGGGAGAGGGATAGTTAGAAACATCAATGAGAGAGAAACATCGATCAGCTGCCTCCTGCATACCCCCTCCTGAGGATGTGCCTGCAACCAAGGTACATGCCCTTGACCGGAATCGACCCCAGGACGCTTCAGTCCACAGGCCGACACTCTATCCACTGAGCCAAACCAGTTAGGGCAGATTAAGCTTTTCTTCATCTTATCTTAGATCAGCAATTTTCAACTCTTTCATTTCATGGGACATATAAACTAATTATTAAAATTCTGATCTGACAAAAAAAAAAGGTATAATTTTGACCCATTTTCGATGGCTATTGTGCTGGCTGTTGTCATTTTTTTTACTTAACATTGTAGGGGAAAAGAGGTCAGTGCCCCTGACTAAACAGTCAGGTATTACATGTTTTAAGTTTTCTTGTGGCACACCAATTGAAAATCGCTGTCTTATATGGATGTTTCCATTAGTCTCCTACTTATTCTCTCTACTTTCACTTTCATGTTCCTTTAAACTACACCACTTCTCAAATAAGCTTTCTTATACAAAAATCTGATTTGCTACTTTTCTATTTAAATTCCTTCAATAACTCTATCTTATAAAAAAGATAAAATTCAGTTCCTTAGCATGTTACAAACATCTTACCTAATAATAGACAAACATGTAAATTGACCGTCCCTCCGCTATGCTCTCCAGCCAATCAGGAGAGTATGCAAATTAACCCAACAAAGATGGAGGTTAATTTGCATACATAGGCATGAAGACCGAAGGCCTGGGTCGTGGGTGCCGGAGGAAAACCGGTGCCGGCAGCCAGGGGAAGGGAAGGCCTATTGCACGAATCTCTTCGTGCAATGGGCCTCTAGTTCCTTAAATAAATGGTTATGTCTATTCTCTTTCCTTACTACTTTCCCATAATTGTGCTTTAGTTATATCTTGGAGACCTCCTACTCTCATACTTTTGCACCTGCTATTCTCTCCATCCATAATTCCTTCTCTTCCTTACCTTTGTTACTTTCTCTTCCTTCCTTACAAACGTATTCTACAGCTCCAGACTCAATTCAAGTAACCTTCCCTATGAAGCACTATTAATTCCCTATTCCCATTATACTAAGTTCATGATTTCTGTGTTTTAGATGCCTCCACTATAAACTTAGGTTAACAACAACTACCTTAAAGGAGTTGTTATGAGGAATTAAAGGAATAATAAATGTAAAATAACTAGTGCAGTGCCTTTAGATAGTACTCAAAATCGGTCCTTTAATACTCCTTCTTCATATAACTCTGTGAATAGTGATGTTATAATTGAATACTTGCCTCTCATTCTGAACTTGAAGATTTTGGAGATTTTCAAGATTAGAGATTTGGTTTACTTTGTATATTCAATGTCTGTTTCAGTTTCTGATACATATTAGCTAGTCTATGAATACATTTTAGAGAATATAATAAATATGACTAGACACTGAGTAGCCCAGTAGAATGAAGCAAATGGCTTACATGTGTGATTCCTGTCTATTTTCTCTTTTTAGTGGTGATGAGTTCCTCAACTTCCTTCTGAAATTAAACAAACAATGTGGCCATTTAATAACAGCTGTACAGAATATCATTACTGAGTTGCCTGTAAATTCTCATAAGGTATTCTACAAAAGTGAAGAAAAGTATGAATGCTGAAGAACATTTCAGATAAGTCTATGATAATTAGTAATAGCAGTGATACGTTAAAATTGTATTTTTATTCTAAAAAATATATCAATAAGTAAATATATTTACTATTACTTCTTTACAACTTATTAATTGAAAAACTTTTGTCTGCTAGCCCTCAAGAAAAGAAAAATGAGTCAGACTAAAAATTAAACTGATCTGTTTATTGTACTTACTATTTGTTCTAAAGGGAATTTAATTTAAAATATAAAGTGACAGGAGACCTAAGTGGAAGTTGAAACAAAACATTGTTGAGTGTTATTAAAAACCATATCAATATATAAGGTGTTTTAGCCCGACCAGCTTGGCTTAGTGGTTGAGCATTGGCCTATGACCCAGGAGGTCACAGTTCAATACCCTATCAGGGCATATGCCCAGGTTGTGGGCTCAATCCCCAATAGGGGGTGTGCAGGAGGCAGCTGATCAATGATTCTCCCTCATCATTGATGTTTCTATCTCTCTCTCCCTCTCCCTTCCTCTCTGAATTCAATAAAAAATTTAAAAAATAGTGGGTTTTGGATTTTATCAAATGTTTTTTCTGCATCTGTTGATACGATCATGAGATTTTTGTCTTTCAGTTTGTTTATGTGATGTTTCACATTTATTGATTTGTGAATATTATACTAGCCTTGCCCTGGAATAAATTTCACTAGATCATGGTGTATGATCTTTTTAATATATTGCTGGATCTAATTTGCTAATATTTTGTTGTTGATTTTAGCATCTATGTTATCAGAAATATTGGCCTGTAGTTCTCTTACTTTGTAGGGTCCTTATCAGGTTTTGTAATTAAGATAGTTCTGGCCTCATAAAAAGAGCTTGGAAGTGTTCCTCCTTCTGGATTTTTAGAATAGTTTGAGGAAGATAGGTATTAGTTCTTTGAATATTTGGTAAAACTCCCTTGTGGTGCTGTCCAGGCGAGAGATTTTATTTGCTGGGAGTTTTTTTTGTTTGTTTGTTTGTGGGTTATTTTTACTGCTTCAGTTACATCAGTTGTTATTGGCCTATTTAGGTTTTCTATTCCTCCTGATTGAGTTTTGGATGCTTGTGTATTTCCAGGAACTTGTCCATTTCATCCATGTTGCCCAGCTTATTAGCATATAGTTGAGTTGTTCATAGTATTTTCTTACAATCCTTTGTATTTCTGTGGTTTCAGTCGTTACTTCATCTCTTTTGTTACTGATTTTATTTATTTGGGTCCTCTATCTTTGTTTCTTGATGAGTCTGGCTAGCAATTCATCCATCTTATTTTATTTTTCAAAGAACCAGCTCTTGATTTTATAGATTTTTTGTATTGTTTTATTGGTTTCTATGTCAGTTATTTCTCCTCTGATCTTTATTATTTCCTTCCTTCTGTTTCCTTTGGGATTTTCTTTTTGTTCTCTTTTTATTTCTTTTAGTTGTAGGGTTAGTTCCTATATTTGAGATTTTTCTTGTTTCTTCAGGTAGGCCTGTAATGTTATGAACTTCTCTTTCAGGACTGCTTTCGCTGTGTCCCATAAATATTTGGGTTGTTGTGTGTTCATTTCCATTTGTTTCCAGGATGTTTTTTTTAATTTTTTTATCTCATTTGTAACCCAGTCATTGTTTAATAGCATACTATTGTTTAATAGCATACTATTTGGCCTCCATGTGTTTGAATGTTTTTGAGGTGTTTTTTTATTGTAGTTGATTTCTGGTTTCATGTGGTGTGATCCAAGAAGTTCCTTGATATAACTTCAGTCTTCTTGAACTTGTAAAGACATATTTTGTATCCTAACATGTGGTCTATCTTTGAGAATGCCCCAATGCACTTAAGAATAATATTTATTCTGCTGCTTTGGGATTAAATGTTCAGCAAATACCAGTTGAATCAATCTGATCAACTGTGTCGTTTAGGTCACTTTTTCTTTGTTTGTTTTTTTATCTAGAACACCTGTGCAGTGATATCAGTGGGGAGTTCAGGTCCTCTACTATGATTGTATTGCTGTCTATCTCTCCCTTAAAATCCTTCATGAGTTATTTTATATATCTACTAGAGGCCAGATGCACGAAATTCATGCAAGGGTCTTGGCCCTTGCAGATCTGGCTGCCTTGGCCCTCGCAGCCCCGGCTTCATCTGGAAGATTGTCCAGAAGGTCGTCTGGACGGTTGCTACGCTGTCCAGTCTAATTAGCATATTAGCTCTTTATTATATAGGATATATATTTAGCTGCTTCTATATTAGGTGCATATATGTTTACTAGTGTTACATCATCTTTTTGGAGTGATCCCTTTTAGTATTATGTAGTGACCTTCCATCTTTGTCTCTTTTTATGGACTATTTTGAAGTCTATTTAGTCAGATATAAGCAATCCTACCCCAGCTTATTTTTCAGTTCCATTTGTATGGAATACTCTTTTCCATCCCTTCACTTTCATCTTTTTAGCATTTCTTGCAATTCTGATTTTGTGGTAATAAACTCTTTCAGACTTTCTCTTGTCTGGGAAGCTCTTCAGTCCACCTTCAATTTTGAATTTTAGCCTTGCTGGATAGAGTAGTCTTAGTTTCAGATCCTTACTTTTTATCACTTTGAATACTCCATGCCATTCCCTTTGCCCTATGATGTTTCTGTTGAGAAATCAGTTGACAGCCTTATTGTAGCTCACTTGTAGGTTATTGACTGTCTCTCTCTTGCTGCCCTTAAGATTTTCTCTGTCTTTAGCATTTGCCATTTTAATTATGGTGTGTCTTGGTATGGGTCTCTTTGTGTTCATCTTTATTGGGACTCTCTGTGCTTCCTGAACTTGTATAATTTTTCCCTTCACAAAGTTAGGGAAGTTTTCTGTCATTATTTCTTCAAACAGGTTTTCTGTTCCTTGCTCAGATTCTTCTGCTTCTGGTACCCCTATAATGCAGATGTTGTTCTGTTTCATGTTGTCCCAAACTGTCCTTAAACTCTCGTTTTGCTTTTTAAGTTGTTTTTTTTTTTGCTTTTATAATTGATTTTTTTTTTACCTTGTCTCCCAAATTGCTGATTAAATCTTTTGTTTCATCAAGCCTGCTTTTAATTCCTTTCATGTATTCTTGATAGCAGATATAGTATTATTCATTTTTGATTGGTTCTTATTCATGGTTTCTGTGTTACTGTTTTTGCTGCTGTAGTTCCCACTAAGTTGCTTGTAGTTCTCACTAAGTTTCTTTAGCATCCTTATAACCATTACTCTGAACTCTGTCTTACTTCCATCTCATTTTGTGTGTGTTTTTCCTGGAGAGTCCTCCTTTTCATTCATTTGGTGGTTATTTCTTTGTCTCCCTATTTTAGTTGTCTGTTTGTGTTTGTTTTTATGTGTTAGACATACCTACAATGACTCTCAGTCTTTGTGGAGTGGCCTTGTGTAGTATATGTCCTGTAGGACACAGAGGTGCTTTCTCCTTGAACTCCTGAAGTGGGTGCTCTAGGAATGACTCTTCTGTAGGTTATTTGAGCTCTCCTGCTGTAATTGGGTCTTGATTGTCATTGTTCTTTACATTGGTGGGATCTCCTCTCAGGCTGGCTGTGACGCTCATTTCAGACAACATTTTTAGAGCTGTTGTACACATGTTGATAGGACAAAATAAAACAAAACTGGAAACAACCAAAAACATACAGAAGTACCCAACAACAGCAGCAAAAACAACTACAAAGAGCCCTTCCCAGTATGGCTCAATTGGTTGTCCCATGCACCACAAAGTCACTGGTTCAATTCTTATTCAGGGCACAAACCCGGTTGTGGGCTCCATCCCCCGTAGAGGGCCTGCAAGGAGGCAGCTGATCTGTGTTTCTATCTTTTATCGAAGTTTCTCTCCCTCTCCCTTCCTCTCTCTATAATCAGTAACAACATATTTATAAAGAAAAACAACTACAAAAGAGAATTATTAAAGAGAAAAGAGAATGAGAATAAATGAAAAAGAATGAAATAAAGTAGTAATAAAAATAAAAAGAATAGTAGAGAAGAGAGGAAGAGGAAAGATTCTGAAAGGAAAGAAGGGAGAGAAAAAATAAGAATAGAGTGGGGGAAAGGAAAACAGTAAAAAAGAAAGAATGAAAAAGTATAGAAAGGTAAAAAGAAGAGGAATATTAAGCAAAAGAAAAAACAGAGTAAGAAAAGAGGCAGCTAAGAGATATGAAAGAGAGGAGAAAAAGGGGAAAAGAGAAAAATAATAATAATAATACCAAAGCAATAAAAAAGAAAAATTAAAGAAAATAATGGAAAAACAAACACCAAAAAAAAATCAGTATGTGAAGTTTGTTTCAGCAGATTTTAGTGCCTGCTAGGATTTCCCTTTGGATCCTGCTCTCATGTTGTCTGAGGCTAACTTTTTTTTTTTGTATGCTTATTTTAAGCCTCCCTGGAGGTACTTTTGTGCTAACAGTCAGAAGCTGTCCAAGTTGGCCCTCCATGCCCCTTTCAAAGCTTTGAAGCAATCTACAGCTTATGGCTGCCTCCCCTGGGCTTGGCTGCCCATGGGAGGTGCCAAATTGAGCTCCAGTGCTTGTTTCTTAGTAGCATGGGGACCTATGGTGTGTCAGCAAATGTTTAGACTTCAGGGAAGAAGGTGGTTGTGTACCATTATTATTTCCTTGCCCTCGGTTGGGTGAAGTCCTTCTTAGGCTGTGGGTGTCTGCTGGAATCCAGGAGTTTCTGCTAGCTCTCCTGTAACACGGAAGCACCAGCCAGGTTCCCTGGAAAGTGGGAGGAGTGTCCCTACCCCATAGCCGGCTACTGATGCTTCCTGAGACTGCTGCAGGGTTGCTGGATTCCAGAGGGTGCAGTGAGTGGGATTCCTTAGGGTGGGGTGAGCTATATACCAGGAGGTTAGGTGTTTGCCTTTCCCCAGGCTTCTGCTGTTGGGAGGGGCTTATGCCTCTAAGGAAAAATGGTTGCTGTGATATGGGGGTTGGGGCATGGCGGGGAACTCAGCACAGGTATCCC